ACAAAGGGCTATAAAATCTATCTTCCAGAAACTGGAAAAGTTGTGATATCCCGTGATGTAAAATTTGATGAAAGTTCTAAGTGGAATTTTAATGAAACCAATACACAGCAATAGGTAGCAGTTTTTCCTCCTATTCCAGTGGAAACTTCAACTCCAACACCAGAAGTTCAGTCTTTCGAGATAGAATCTATCGCACCTACTGCAGAAAATTCTGAATCTTCAAGATCTAGTTCGTCTCCTAGAGGAACCAGATCTTTGAATGAGATTTATCAGAGGTGTAATATGGCAGTGGTTGAACCCAGCAGTTATGAAGAGGCACAACAACATTCTGAATGGGTTGATGCAAAGGAAACTGAAATGGAGATGATTCATAAAAATCAGACTTGGGAGTTAGTACCTCGTCCTGATGAAAGAAAAGTGATTGGAGTGAAGTGGATGTACAAGGCAAAAATGAATCCAAATGGCACAGTGAACAAATACAAAGCAAGGTTAGTTGCTAGAGGATTTGCACAAGAAAGTGGTGTTGATTATTTTGAGACCTTTGCACCGGTTGCAAGGTTTGACACCATCAGATTATTGATTGCACTAGCAGCACAAAAGAAGTGGAAGATACATCAGTTGGATATAAAATCCGCATTTCTCAATGGTGAACTGGAGGAGGATGTTTTTGTTGAACAACCTGAAGGTTTCCAGTCTAGAATCTATCCTGATCATGTATGCAAGCTGAAAAAGGCCTTGTATGGTTTGAAACAGGCGCCAAGAGCTTGGTACAGCAAAATAGATGGTTATCTATGCGCTAAAGGATTCAGGAGGAGTGAAAATGAACATACTCTTTATGTGAAGAGTGATGAAAATTCTGATATCCTAATTCTATCCATGTATGTGGATGATTTACTCATCACAGGAAACAGTAAAAAGCAAATTGATTTGTTTGCTGATAAATTGAAGGAAGAATTTGAGATGACAAATCTTGGAGAGATGAAGTATTTTTTGGGCATTGAGGTTGAGCAAACAGAAAATGGTATTTTCATTTCACAAAAGAAATATGCAAGTGATATCTTGAAGAGGTTCAAGATGCAGCAGTGTAAACCAGTTGATACACCAGTTGCGTTGAACACAAAATTATCCAAAGAAGATGGAGACCAGCCAATCAATGAGAAGGAATATAGGAGTCTTGTTGGAAGTTTACTGTACTTGACAGCAACAAGACCAGATTTGATGTTTGCGGCAAGCTTACTTTCTAGATTCATGAGTAAGCCATCACAAACACATTTTGGAGTTGCCAAAAGAGTCCTTAGGTATATCAAAGGAACAATAAATCATGGCATCTATTTTGCT